TGTCCAGTGTCAAATTTTTTCCTCCCAACAGGAATGAAATTTACTAGACACTCATTCTTTTGAGTGAAAACATGTTTTTAAATGCAAAACCTCTCAGAAGTGTTTATATTTTATACTGCTGTCACTCTTACCTTTGTGGAATAGTTTATTCCTTTCTTCTTTTGGAAGCCCAGAACACATGTGATGGATGGGGGAGAAAGGAAGGAAACAGTCGTGGAGTAGGGAATGCCTCGGCTGGTCAGCAGGAGGTTACTGAGTACCTTTTCTCACTGAAGCACAGACAGGACCTTGACAAGAATCTGAAGCCTGATTTAACCTTTTAAAAGTTTTGCATCATTTTTATATTAAATAACTATAATTTTAAAAGTACATTTTTCTGAGAAGTTTGTTTTATAATTTGTTTTCAAATGGATCTGCATTTGTTTAATATACTGCCTCCTCCAAAGTACGTCTTGTAGAAAACAAAAATATCCTGTTAATGATAGCCTTTTTGTCAAGTATGACAGCATGTCGTTATTTTACTTACAAAATGAGGAAATGATATAACACGAAGTTACAAGAATGAAGCACAAATTATATTTCATGAAAAAAAGAGATAACTTTTACTTCATTTGGGAACATAATTACAGTATTTCTTATCTTCTCAAGTTTCACAGAAATGTCCTAAATAGTTAGCCCATACAGACACTAAGAATTTGAAAGAATTATTGCATTTTGTTGTTGCAGTTTTGCTTGTAGAAAACTATTTACAATTTAATGGCATTGAAAACTTTCGTGCAGTGTATTTATTTAACATAGATCAGTCGATGATTCAGGTTGTACTAGATGTCAGGAGGCTACTCTTTTGGACTATTATGATTTTATTGCCTTATTTCTTAAAATAATGAATGTCATGTTTTGGCTTTCTTTGCTGAACTTCAAGAAGACCTATTCTATAAAATGTATTGCTTCCCTTATTTTAGCATTTCCCCCCCGTGATTGTTAGGGTGGAATAATATTCCAATAGTTTTCACAACTGCGAAGGATATACTATTTCTGCAAATATGCTCCACCCATCAAGGATTTTCTTTAGAATAAGGATACGGCACTTTGCCAGGAGCAGGGTAAGAACTGTGATTAATAGCCAAAAGGATAAGGATGAAAATGCCTTGGAGTAAGCAGTATAATTTTCAAATTGATGAGGATGAACCAAAAATCAAGATGGGCAAAGAGATTATAAGAAAATACCCATCTGCTCTGAATTAGTTCAGGTCTCTTGACCTGGATGAATTTATATTCCTAGAGACTGAGTGGAACTTTGAATGGGACTGCAGAGCCTTTGTTGGTGATTTTTGAGGATGTGTAGGGAATAAGAGGGGTAATGCACAAATGCTATTCCATTTACAGAATATCCATAAATTACCCACCAGTGAGCTTAATTTCAATCCCAGACAAGATTCTGGAGTGAGGATATATTGGAGAATACAGTAACCCTTGGACCAATTTTACGTTCTTTAAGAGCCAGCGTGTAGGCCTTGCCATTGCATTTTGTGTAGGTTTACTAGATCCAGGAACTGTTGTGAGCATAGAATATGTGGACTTTACAAAGCCATGTGACAAGGTTTGTCACAACATTCCAAAAGGCAATATGAGTAAATATAGGCTGGTTACAAAGAGAATTGGGTGGTTTAAAAACCGGTTGAAGAGTTGTACCTGAAGTGTGCTGAGAAATGGATCGATATCTACCAAGGAGATATGACATGTTGTGGAGTTCTAGTCTCAACTTTGTCATATTCAGTACATTTTTTTATATCAGTGAGTTAGTTGGCTAAAATGGCTTATAAGGATCAAATTTACAAAACACATGAATCTTAGAACTTCTGGGATACCAAAGTCAATAACTTTGACAAATATATATACATGTGCATTTTTGCCCTTGGATCTGAAAAACCAATTGCTTACATAACAGAATAAGAAGTATTAGTTGAAAGGAATAGGTAGCTCAAGGGGTAAAAGAGAGAATAGTGGAAGAAGATCCCAAAGTCAAGTAGGGCAGCCAAGTCTCAGGAGAGACCAACGCAAGAAACTAGAAGGTCACCATGTATAAGGCCGTGACAGGGTCCGCCTTCTCTCTCCTTCTCTCTGGAGCCCCTGTGTCTGTGTCTCAGTGTCTCTCTGTGTATCTGTGCCTTCTTGTCTCTCATGCCAGTAATGAGGCTTCCACTGGACCTTGCACATGACTCTTCACTCTTACTGGCTGCTGTAAGTAGTGACCTAAACGTCCAGGTCTACGACCCTTACAGACCTATTTGGCTCAGCCCAGCTAAGGGCTTGGTTCTTCTGGGTCCAGTGTCCACTCCTGGCCCACTAACCAGCCATAGATAGGATAGATGGGTGGAAGGAGGCCTTAGTCACATGACCAAACAGAAGAACCAGGGCTGTGAAAGGTGGGTTTTCCCAAAAAGGGGACATAGATGGAAAAGAAATGATTGGTGTAATGAGACATTATACTGCAGGTTTAAAATTTTTTTTATTTTGTTGTTTTTGTTGAGAATATACTCATCAAAACCTACACTAATTCATCAGTTTCTACGTGTACAATTCAGTGACATTAATTACATTCTTCGAGTTGTGCAACCATTCTCACCCTCCTTTTCTGAGTTGTTCCTCCTCCATTAGCATAAACTCACTGTCCCCTAAGGTTCCTATCTAATCTTTCAAGTTGGTGTTGTCAATTTGATCCCATATAGATCGTTCTTAAAAGAGCATAATGCTCAAGGCATACAATTTTTACTAGTTAAATTAAACTACTGTTTGGTTTTAAGAAGACCTCGGGATATTTTTGGTTTAAGGTTTAAAGATTATCTCAGGGCAATAGTTTCAGGGGTTCATCCAGCCTCCTCTTCTCCAGAAAGTCTGCGTTCCATGAGAATTTGAAATTGTGATCTGCATTTTCCCCCTTTTGATCAGGTATACTGCAGGTTTTACACTGCAGTGTCTCTTCTTAATAGGGGCTTTTTTGATCATAAAAGCCAGTTACAGTACATAATAGATTTGTGATCTAAAGCTGTAGTAGATGATATTTTGTATTCAGAATGAGGAAAGCTAGAGTCCTCTCTGAGTCTGTTTTAGTGAGTCCACACTGGCGTGTTAAAGAACACTGGAACAAGTTCCAAGACAATTCTTTAGAATGAGGAGGAAATTCAAAACCATGTCATATGGGAAACAGCCGAAGGAACTTGAAACATTGACCTGAGAAGACATGGAGTGTTCCTCATAGCTGTCTTCAAACATTAGAAGAACCATTGTCTGCAATAGGCCCAGAGTTGTTCCACATGGTTACTAGGCGGACTAGGACCAGTGAGATAGATTTGGGGTCAGGATGAGAAAGAACTGCCTAATCGTCACAGCTGCCAAAGATAGTAGGCTGCCTTAGAAGATAGTTCCCCATCATTGGGAATGTTGACACAGAGGCTGGATAACGATTTACCTAGTTTGGATTAGACTCAAAAAACCCATTCAGAGCTTGAACCAAATTATCTTTATGATTTATTTGAAACCTGATGTGTTCTAAATCTATAAAATTTGCAATCCGTGGCAGTTAGTTGATTGCATAGCCATTCACACAAATCCCACAGTATTGTATTATGGTTTTCAATTTGAACATTTTATTATTAAACTTTAAATGAGCAACACCAACCGACTTTTGTGTGGTGACAGTGATAGGCTGATACAGCGGCATCCCTCCTGGTCCCAGGAGCAGTTTCTGTGGTTTGGAGGGTGGTGACTTTGAGAGTAAGTACTCCTCAGATAATCCAAGTGTTGCTTTCACTTTGCTGCCCTAGAGCAAATATTTAAGGAAGCCGCTTCTTATCCTGTGATTTGTGAATAGCAAAACAAGCAGAGGCTACTTTAGAAATATTTATGCTTGAGACAGAAAAAATAACCAACTCTCTCCTGACTTTGTTGGAATTCCTTTTTTATTGTCCCCATGCTGGCCAGAGCCATATGAGCATTTTATCTGAAGGAAGTAAAAGGGATCAGCTGAAATACACAAGGTAGATAAACACAAATGGTCACAGGCCTAGGTTTTAGATAGATCTGGATCTTCATTCCAAATTATTCACATATCAGCTAGTTATAACTACAGTGGTCTGAATTTTCTCATCTATAAAATGGGTATAACCCTGCCTAGCTCCAAACCCGAAAACCAAACCCATTGCCGTTGAGTTGATTCAGACTCATAGCTACCTTATAGGACAGAGCAGAACTGCCCCATATGGTTTCCAAGGCTGTAAATCTTTACACAAGCCGACTGCCACATCTTTCTCCTGTGGAGCGGATGGTGGGTTCCAACCACCGACCTTTTTTTGGTTGGCAGCGGAGCGCTTTAACCATTGTGCCACCAGGGTTCCTCTAACCATGCCTACCTGATGGGAGAAGAACTGACTTAGGGAGAAGAGATTAGGTTCAAAGTGTTTTTCCTATTCGAAGTTTTATGACAGAATGTTAAATTCTGTTAGAAGCATAAAATGTTAAAACTGGACAGGAACTTAGAGTTTATTTGGTCCAATGCCATAATTTTACAAATGAGGAAAATAAGACCTGAAAAAGCCAGGATCACAGAGCAGTTGGCAGCTAAGGCCAGTGATTTCTTCTCCCTTTATGGAAAACTTATCTTAAAACAAGAAAGTGTTCATAGAAATACAAAGATGTTGTCATCATTTGTAGTTTTATTTTATGAAAAATATTTCAAGAGTAGATCTTTCTTAGAGATACCATGGAAAAACAATTACTGTGACAGGTCCTTTTCTAATTCCAAGATTTTCAATCAGATTCAATATCATGTCAGTTTTAACAGTTTCATCCAGATGTAGGCAATGTAATAATGTATTACTCCATGGCATAGTGCAGTATATATTTATTTCGTTTAACCGCCATAGTTTCAATAACATCTTCAGTTGAACTTTATTTTTCAGAATTTAAAAGAAATTTCAGTAAATGCATGTTCTATTTTCTAGATGCCTTCTGAAGAAAAAGTTTGTAAGTACTGTGGAGTCAGCTATCTAATTCTTCATGAGTTTAAGGCTATGGAAGAAAAAGTGAAAGCAATGGAAAAAGAGATGAAATTTTATCAAGGAAGTGTAGAACGTGAAAAGAGACTTCAAGAAAAGCTACAGTCTCTTAGCCAAGATCTTCAACAGTACAAAATTGATAATGAATCCAAAACAAAAAGGTTGGAATGTGTTATTCATTTCTGTCATTTATTTAGTTTGGAAGAAAAGTACAGAAGATAAATAGGCTTTGAATGTTTTTCTAGAATTTCCCTAGGTTAGATATAATTTATACTTTAATACATTTAAATTTGTTTGTGAATTAGATTAACAGTTACTAATTATAATTACTAATTATAGTTTGAAGTATTCCTTTGAGGCATGTGTTTACTATCCAAACAATTAGCAACCAATTAATTCAGTGACTATAAGTTGAGATAGATCAGTTTTGTTTTTTTTTTCCCCTAGATATATATCTTACTTTTTATCATTAGGAAAATTTGTCTATCAAAAATCAGGTGAATTTTGGTATTTTTTTGATACCTAACATTTGTTTTTCAATGGTTTTGAGTTTTTAGATTTATAGAATAAGGTTTTCATGTTTTGAAAAGGATACCAAAGCATTAAAATTGGTGCATAATTCTAGATCATTGAAATTAGGATCAGGTTAAATAAGGAATGGGTTCCTAAGACTGTAGAATCTAATCAGCAATTTAACCTGCCCAAAGACACTTTTAAAGAGCTTATCCAAACTCTTCAACAGAAGAGTTTTTGTTGGTGTTTTTATGGCTGTTCTTTTTTCCTATGAATGAAAATGTCTCAATTTAAAATATTGACAGTTGATGTTAGTAAACTTTGAGTTCATAAATTTAAAGAATATTGTGTTTATATAAAGGCAGACACTTTTAAAACCCCCTAGAATTAAGTACTTTTATTAAATTTGATTATACATTTTAATATAAAAGTATGCAATTATCTTGCATGTCAGTTGAATCAGATGTTTCTTAGACCTTACCTAGGAATTTATTTGTCACAGTTTCTTTAATTTAAAATTTAAAGTATTTTATAATATATGAGTAGAAAAATTAAAAGAAGTATGCAGTTTACAACTTTTAATTTAGATGGTTTTTGCCTTTAGAGATTCTTTCGTTTCGTGTTACTCACACTCTAATTTTTTTTTAATTTTTTTTTAATATTTTATTGTACTTCAGGTGAAGGCTTACAGAACAGATAGTTTCTCATGTAACAGTAACACACATGCTGTTTTATGACATTGGTTA